AGAAGAGCAGAAACAACTTCTATTTATACAAAATTAAGTTCGTATCACAAACTATAATTATTAACTTCAAGAAAACTCCGGAAGTTTCCATAACATTCTAGTGCAATTATTAATGCTGGAGATAATTTACCTAGGTATTTTACTGGTAACTACCAGAGGTATTTTATCTCGTATCACGTAATGTTACATATCTGAGATATTTTACTTCTATTACGCAAATACTAATAAGGTAATACAAGAATATAAATATACTAAACTAAAAATAGATAAGATAATACATATATAAAATACTAATATAATAATAAAATAATAATAATAAAATATGTTATAATAAAATATATATATATATATAGAAAAATAAAGAAACAGAGTTAACAGTATATATTTTACGACGTATTATTGTCAAAAATAATAAAAGAAAATAAAGGATACATAATGGAAGAACAAGGAATCAAAGATCTAAGAAAACTAAAAGAAAAAAATAATAATAAAAGAATCAGTCGCAACGATAATCTACATGGATAATATAGTTTAAATCACAAAAAGCAAAGAAGAAATGACCAAAATTATGAATACAGCAAACGAGTTCATGAAAATGACAGGAATAGAAATTAATTGCTCAAAATCTGACCTAATAATAATTAAGTCAGAAAAAAAAAAAAAAAAACTAAAATAAATACAATAAAAATAGGAAATAATATAATAAATTGCTATATTACACAAGGACCAATAAGATATCTAGGAATATGGATACAAGTAAATGGAAAGAAAACGCATCAAGTAAAACTAATGGAAAAAAAAATAAACTATACATTAGCAGCAATAAGAAAAGCAAAAATAACAGATAAACAAGTAAGATATATTTTAAATCACATATTAATACTGTAACTGGAATATTTAATAATAGATAATATACCAACAGAACAATGATTAGACAAACAAGATAGAAAAATAAGAACAACTTTTAAATACAAATGTAATCTAGCGAAAACAACACCCAACTCAATAATACATTCAAATTTAGGTTATAAGTTATTTAGTATTAAAGACAGAATATACTAACAATGCTTAGTAGAATTTAATGATAAAATTAATCATCAATCTTTATACGGAAAAACAACAAGAATAAGAATTAAATCTCTACAAAATAGTAAGTAGACAATAACATCAATATGGAAACAAAAAATAAAAAAATCTAAAAATATATAAAAAAATAAATCAAATAGCTAAAATTATAGAAATAGCAAAAAAATATAAAATAATAATAAAAAATCAATATAAAAACGAAATACCAATAATATTAATAGGGGAAATAATTACCATAGAACAAATAATAAATGACAAACAATATTATAGAAATATGGTAAAAACATTAAAAGGAAACAATTTACTATACACTGACCAATTAATAAACAATAATTCAAAAAACATTAGAATCCTAACATGGTCACAAGTCACAAAGGGTAAATACAAAAAAAAGGAACCATATTGATATGAAAAATTCAAAGAAAAACTTTTAGAAGCAGAATTTAATTTTGCACAGCAATACAATTATATAAATACATTCAACCTATTAAAATCAATAAATGAAGAAACTAAATTCACAATAATAAAAGTAGAACAAATAAAAAATAATGAAACACAAATAATATTACTAATAGAAAAAATTAAAAAAAGAAATAAAAATAATATAATAACAATAGAACACTATACACAAATAGAAAATAGTAACAATAATTTCAAATCACCACTACAACTATGTAGAGAATGTGATTTTTTTTCAAATCCAGAAAATGAAAAAACAAAAAAAACAAGAAGCTACCAAAACCACATAATTGACATCAAAACAAATGAAATACAAACATATCACTTGAACCTAAGATAACACAAACTGAAAAAGAGTGAAAAAGGAAAAACAAACAATAAAGAAAAAATACCAAAAATGATGCAATTCCCGTAATCCATTTTAAATTTTTACAATCAATTTAAAAAAGCAAATTATATAATAGATCAAGAAAATGAAGAAAAAAATAAAGATCTTAAAGCAGAAATAATAAAATATTCGGAAGACAAAATACATGAAATAAAGAACATAAAACAAAAAATGACAAACTGTATCAACAATAAAATAGAAATATTTACAGATGGGTTATATATAAAAAAGAAAATTCCAGAAAATTTAATAGGACAATATAAAAAATCAACAGCAATGGGATACGGTATAGTAATAGAAATAGAAGAACAAAACAAAAAAGAAATCCTAACATTCAAAGGCATAACACAAGAACCACCATCATCAACCAGAGCTGAACTAATGACGATATCAATTTTACTAGATATATCTCCAGAAAAAAAAATAATAAAGATAAATACAGACTCAAGTGTAGCAATAGTAACAATAAATGAATACATAGACTTAAGAAAAAGAAAAAAAAGAAAATCATACAAAAATCCATATATATTATAAACAATAGAAGAATTAATAGTTAAAAAAGGAATAAAAATAGAACTAATAAAAATTAAAGCTCATTCAGGATAAAATTAAATGAAAAAGCAAACCAGTTAGCAAAAGAAAGATAAATTGAAACGAAAAAAAAAAAAAATAAATCCAGAACAATTAAATGCAATAAAATACTTTAATATAGTAAACCAAGAAGTCCCAAACATGCCAATACAAGAATACATGAAAGAAATGATATTGATAAACCACTTGGTAGAATGGAAAATGCTGTATAAAACAACTACAACATTATTAAAAATAATAATAACAGCAACAGACTAGAAACAAACAAAAGAAACACTAATACACTCAAGAATCACAGACAGCGAAACATTATAAGAAGATCAAAAATATAGAACATTTAAAAATAAAACTCTTAATAGAAGGACTATCTACAAAAAAATTAATATATGAAAAATACCTCCAACTGTATCAAAATTTAAAATGCATTAAATGTAATAATCACAAAGAAACATCAATATACGTCCTAACATGTTCAAATGGAATCAAAGAACTTCAAGGAGAATTCTTTACAATAGTAAGAAAAAAAATACAGAAAGTACACAACTACTCAAAATCACATGAATTAATTAAAAAAGAATTTAAAAACCACAGTAACTATCAAATAGACTATAACAGAGTAAACACAGTAAAAATAAATAAATACTCAACATTCTCCTTTATAGATATAATAAGAAATATAATATCAAAATCCTTTAAAAAAAAATTAAAAAAAATTATGAAAATAGAAACAAAAGAAATAGAAAAAATAATAAAAAATATAATTCAAGAATTTATAAAAAAAAATACATAAAAAATGGTTAGAACAATGTGAAGTAGTAAATAAGTAGGAAGAAAATGATAATATAACAGCTGAAATAAAATGTGACACAACAGCACAGTATATAAGAAATGAGGAAAATTATAAAAAAATTAAAAAAAAATTAGAAATACGTAAACCTAAAGTAATAGAAACAACTTATTAAATGTAATAAACACTTCTTTTTCATATATTTTATCTTCTTTATTTTTAAGCTTAGATATTAATGAGACCGTGATGATGTAAACCTACTAATTTTAAAAGTAAACTTTAGTTTATTTTCAATGGCAGTAGGTTAATCAGTAGACCTAGTCTTAGATAGTTTTATTTCTTCATTTGTAATTTTATATACAATCTAAATAAAATAAAGTGAGTGTTGGTTACTCAAATCAAATCAAAAGTTGTTACATATAAAAATTTATTATTTTATAGTAAAAAATAAAAGTGATACTGAGTAGCCTTGAAGATAATATTGTTTTACACATACTATAAAGTTTGCAAACCTATATTATGAGAATTAAAGAAAAGATTGACAATTATTCCTTAAAGTTTAATTGGTAATTATTTGCTATATTCTCATGATATAGCTTTAAAAACTTTACAGTAGATGCACAACAATTTTCTCTTTAAGATTACTTAGTATCATTTTTAAGATTTTATTGTTACAAAAAATGTTTTATATGTAGAATTTATGGATAATTTTCCTGAAATAACAAAATGATCAACAATAATTTCGATCGTTTTTTAGTTGTGTCTAAGTAAAGTTCTGATCTTAACTAGAAAACAGCAAATATGATACTAATAAACATTGTAGACTTAGTTTAGGGCTATAAGTCTTTATAAGATATATTGCACTTCCAGTAAATAGTTATTGAAAACGAGAGACATTACGATTAACAATTTGATTTGCAATTTTTGGATAACTTTAAGACATCCAATTTTAACAGAAAAGATATCATATGATAACCATTGATCAGGGGATCTTTTTAAAAAAAGTTTACGCAATTTTAATTATTCCTTGTGTCACAATTTGCCCTTGAATTTTATTGAAAAATTTGATAAAAAAACAGTTGCCTGGATACTTTTGGCAGGTTGGTGTATATTATTTTTAAATAAATATTTCAAATACATTATATATATATATTTCAATATATTATTTATATATTTTATTATATTATATATATATTTTAATATATTATTTATATATGTATAGGTAAAAAAAAAACAATTTACAAAATAAATTAAAAATACAAAGAAAAAAATTATTTGGAATTTAAAAAGATGTTATGTATGTGTGTTATAAATGGGAATAATAATAATGAAATTTGAAAATTAGAAATAATAATATAATAATATATATATGTGTATGAAACAATAATATGCTCTTGTTATTTATTGTTGTTTTGTTATGCGTGCTAAATGTTATAAAAAATGTAATAATGATGAATGTAATGAAAAATATAATGCTATAAACAATATTATTATTATTATTATTTATTGATTATTTATAATATATTATCGTAACCTTTTCATTATTATATATGATTATTATGTATATCATGCTATATATTATTGTTTGTTGTTACAGTTTATGTTGTGATTCTTGTGATTCTTGTGGTTCTTGTTGTTCTGGCCATGAAATAGTAGATGATGTTGATCTAGCAGCTTTAACTTTTTGACCATAGAATCGCCATGTCTTGAAATATGTTTTATATTGTTCCACTTCTTTTGCGAATGTTGCTACTATTTCATCATATTCATGTGATTTTACTTTCATTAAAGTTGACATCGGTGTTCTTATAGCATTCCATCCTTTATTAATATCATCCACAGCCTGCGAAAAACAAGAATAGAGTGAAATCGTGAGATTTATTTATTTATTAAAAATTTGAAATATAATAATAATAATAATAATATAATAATGATTACTTACAAATTGTCCAAGTTCACGAGCCCAATGACCAACAAAACATGACATCTCTTTTGTTTGAATCCCCGTAACAAATTTATCATTGGCTTCCATTGATTGAGTTGTATGTATATCTATTGGTGATATAATTCCTTTCGATTTCATAAATGTCTTTACTAAAAATAAAAATAAAATTATGTGTGTTAATATTTATTATACACACATTATATATATGTATAGTGTTACACACGAACTTTACCTGCATTGGTTAATTTCTCCGTAGTAGGTCCTTGATTATGATATTGAATATCACTTTCCATAAATTCTATCCAACCACCACCTCTCGTAACTCTTATTAGTTCCGGAATAACCTTTTGTTCCCATTCAGTAATCGTAAATGCTGTAATTAATAATCTCATATTAACGAAATCAAATGTATCATCTAAGAATGGTAATCCATCTAAGATATTGGCTTGAAGAAATTTGGCATTTTCCAATTTTTTTATTCCTTGTTGATGATGATAAAGTTGATTATTATTATTATTTTGTGTTAGTGGTGATTGTGGAAATATTGGAAGAAAATCTACTCCGGTAAATGTAGAATTGAAATATGCTTCTGCCATTTCAAGTATCCATGTTCCTGGACCGCAGCTATAATTAAAAAAAATAATATAATTATTAATAATGAATAATAATGGATAACAATGGACAAATAATAATAAAAGAGATAACAATGGATAATAATAATAATAATAATAATAATAATAATAATAATAATAATAATAATAATAATGATAATAATAATAATAATAATAATAATAATAATAAAATTTACCCAACATCAAGAACTCTCGCGCCACCTAATTTTAATTTATCTTCAACTGGAGAAGAAAAATTATCTTGCCAAATTCTTTTAAATAATTTTTCTTGTCTTTGTAATCTTTCAATTTCCTCATGCATCGCGGCTGAATCGGATAATAATATTTTAGAAGAATTCTTTAAATAATTTCTTTTACTTCCACCAGTAAAATTCCATGCTTCATTAAGGGATGCTACGGCACCATCGTCACTATTGGATTGTACACGCCATGACCTAAATTTTTTTCGTCTTTCGGCTTTACCATCAGTTTTTGTTGGTGAAGATAATGTTACCAGGGTAGAAGGAGTGATTGATACTGCTGTTTTTGATTGTCGACCTCCCATTATTTTATTTTTTTATTATATTGTATTATGATTGTGTTTAATATTTGTTATAATGAATATTTTTACTGAGATAATTATTGTTTATACCAAGGTGAATATTATATGAATGAAATAAATAACATATATATATAATATTATTGAGTGAATGTAAAATTTGTTGTTGTGAAGAAGAAAAATGAAAGGAATTTATTTGTCATATATATATATATTTTTATTTCCTGTATTTTTGTATTTTTTTTTTATATATATTAAATAATATATAATATATTAATATATATATATGTGCATATATATTGATCACGTAATTTTTATGTTACCGTTAATTATTATTGTTAATTTCATTTATTATTAATTACGAAATTTAAATGAATATATTGTATTTGACGAAATATAAATAATACAAATGATATAAATGGTTATGTATAATAAAAGTGTAAAAAAATTTTTTTTCATGGCGCATGTATTGTATTAAATATACAGTACTTTAATTATTGCTCGATTTCGGCTGGTTTTTTTTTTCTCAAATTAATAAACATGGAATTTTTTCTTTTTTATATAACTCCCGTGTATAATTATAATGTGTTAAGTTCTTTTAGTGTTATTTTTATAATACAATAATTATTACATTAAAAATATTTTATACTGTAAAAAGATGAAAGAAAAAAAAAAGACAAAAAAAAAAAAAAGGCGCGCTTTATTAAAAAAAAAAAAAAAAGATTATTGTTTATATCTTTATAAAGGTTATTTTATTATTGTTATCGTATAACAATTGTGTGACAAGTTTTATTTCACACGTGTACTTCTAAATACTTCTAAAATACTTCTTAAAAAAAATAATAAAATAAAGTATATACAATACAGTATATTTATTATAGTTCATAGTTAATCATTCTTAATTATTTTTTAATTATTCCATGCATAGAAGTGTCTATATAAAAATGTAGATGAAATGTATTAAATGTATTAGAATGTAATATATAAATAATTTTTTTTCCGTTTATATAATATATAATTAATATATATTAATATTCTAATATTCTAATAATATATAAATAATTAATTTTAATATTTTTTTTTCGTAAATTTTCGTAAATTAAAAAAAAAAACATATATATTTCCGTTCATTTACTGACCGTATTCATTTTAATATACATTATTTCCATATTTAAAAATATTTATCATTTATTTATTTCATTTATAATTATTATCTTGTTTCATACCCTGTTCATCAAATTCCTTTTTGTTGTTGTTGTTATCTTTGTCCATATGGCTTTTGGGAAATTTGGAATAAATGCGTAGATGCAAAGATGCAAAGATGCGTGTAGATGAATTTTTTTTTTTTCATGTTATTCGATTCATGCTATTTATTTCATGTATTTCATGTATTTCGTGTATTTCAAGTATTTCTTGTTCCATGTTATATTTTGGAATATAAATAAATAAACAAAATAATGAATGAACTCTATTTTACTCTATTTATTTAAATTAGGAAATAATCTTTTTTTTTTATAACCTAACTTTTCTTTAAATGGAAAAATTGATTTTACCATATTACATAATAATATAAGGATATAATAACAAAATAATAACAATAATGATAATGATTAATAATAAGGGAGATTGTGATGATAATATTAATAATCAATAATTTTTAGAGATTGTAATAATAATAAAAGAAATTGTAAATAATAGAGGGATTATAATAATAAAAGAGATTGTAATAAAATAAATAATGATTATAAATAATGTAATTTCATACGAGGGAAAGCCTCATCAGATGGGTCGTTAAAAAAAAAAAAAAAAACTTGTTTTCAATAAACAATATTTATTGACAATACTATAAATAAATATTCTGAATAAACAATTTTATTATTATTAGATAATATTATAATTCAAGTTATCAAAAAAGTCATCAAGCAAGTTATTATTTTGGCTTGGCTATTTTCGGTGGCTTTTTTTTTTTTTTGGAATATTTTACCTGGATACAGTAAGTAATTTGAAATCATTTAGAGCAGGTGATCAATAACCTAAAAAAAAAAATTTATCGAAATTCGAAAAAATCTTCTCAAAGAATTTTTAATTTTAATTTTGCGAGAAAAAAAAAATTAAATAGTAAAAGATCTATTCGATGTTCTATTCGATCGGAATATTCGGAATATCAATTGATATGTCTAATTGAATGGGTTTGATTAGAATTTTTAATTTTGTTACATTTAAAACATATTTATTTTAATAATAACAGATAATAATAATAATTCTTTGTAATAATAATGAAAAATTTCTTTGTATGTAATAAATAATAATAATAAATAATAATAATAAATAATAATTTTTCTTTGTAATAATATTAATCCCTTTGTTAGGTAAAGATCAATGTCGATAAAAACCTAAAGATAAAAGCATGATAAACTTAATTTATACTAAATGTAACTCTACATATAGAGTTACAGAATCATTAACTAAATGTAAATAAATAATAATAATAATAATAATAATAATAAAAAAGATGATAACATAGCTTATTATTATTATATTATATAAATCGGAACTTTGATTTTTTACTTTATTTTATTATCTACATTTACACAATTTTTTTTTTTTTACACTCGATATTAATTCACATAATTCATGTAATTAGATATAATTAGATTTTCCGTGCATCAGATAAAAAAAAAAAAATAGCTTAATTTGTTCATTCATGTTATTCATGTTTTTATAAAAATTTTTTTTTTGTTTATCATCGTGTTTACCATCATGTTTATCTGTTGTGTAGTGCTTTCGGTGTGCGAATAACAAAATTGAATAAATTAATTAAATTTTAAAAAAAAAATAAATAAATAAATAAATAAAAAAATTAAGGATAAAATTTAAGGAGGCATAATTTTTAAAAAAAAGTATAATTATCAAAAAGGAGAATAAAAAGTAAAGTAAGGGATGTTTTGATTTGAATAAAAAAAATTTTTTTGTGAAACCATTTTACCTATTTTGTGGGAGGAATCCCCTAAAAAAATTATCAATAATAAGCAACAATTATAGCAATAATAATAAAAGAGAATAATGATAGAGATAATGAATTAATAGAAAATAATAACAATATTAAGAATAATTATAATATAATGAAATAACAGAAATTTCTTCTGAAAGTCGATGAGGTTGATTAAGGTCGATGAGGTCGATGAAAGTTGATAAGGTCAATGAAATTTGATCAAGTCGAAAGGGTCGATGAAGGTCGATGGGTTGATGATACAAAAAAGAATGTAATAATGAAATTAGTGAAAAAATAATGCAGGGTACAAAGATAAAAATGGATATCATATTAATTATCAATTATGGACAAATTATTATAAATTCCATTTATATGGAATAATAAATAAACTATTGACTACGTAATACTGTATTATTGTATTTTAACGTAATATATATTTAAAAAAATTCTCGCGTTAGTATGTATGGTAATGTATGGTATGTGTTTCTTTTCTATAACTATAATAATAAAACAATGACGATATAAAATACGTTAATTTTTTTTTTTTTTTTAAATGAATGATTAAATATGTGTGTAAATATGTGCGAATGATTAAATTGTAAATAAGAAAAAATGAAGATATAAATAAAAATAAATGGATGAATGAAATAAATGAATAGAATAAAAATGAATAATTGAATGAAATAAATGAATAAATGAAAATAATGATAATGAATGAAATAACATCTAAAATAATTTAAAATGTACAACAGAAAAAGTAGTACCTGCATTCTTCATCATTATCATACATTTTACCAGGACCAGACTTGTGCATTACATATTTTTTTTTAATTCCATGTATGAGATACACTAATAGTAATAATTATATATTTTTTATCTGCTGTTTGTGCTGTACATACATCATGCATATTTATTTATATATACTTATATACAAGTGAATAAATATATAAATTTAGAGAACTAATGAATATTTAATTTTATTTTATTTGTAAATGGGTTGAACAAATTAAGTTGAAGTAAGTTAAATAAATTAAATGAGTTATATGAAAAAAATAAATAAATTAACTTTAATTTGTGATCTAACTTGAATTGGTGATTTTAAAACCTTAAAATTATTATTATTATAACTTTAAATAATAAATTAGGAGTTCAACTATTGAACCACGTAAAAAAATGAATTATTCATTCAATAATAATAATAATAATAATAATAATAATAATAATAATAATAATAATAATAATAATAATAATAATAATAATAAT